TTTCTTTTTCAAACAATTAAACCTTTAGTGCCCCCATAAAAAGAGACCCAAATCTACCTTAAAAAACAACATCTGGTGTGTTGAGGTGAAAGGGACAGGGTGTGTATATGACCCAGGAGTGTGATTACTTAAGACAGTTCAAACATGTTCACTAAAATACAATTCAAAATAATACATCTTTACTTCAATACAGTTTAGAATCATATCTTCTTACTTCAATAGCCACAGAAGTCTTAACACAGTTTAACCAGTAGCGTGGCGTGGGGAAAAATTTAGGGGAAGCCCATTTTTTTGGGTTGGGTTAATTTATGCAGACACGCCCCCCCCCCCCCAAATGCAATACCAGCCGCTCAATGCGCAGTGCAGATTCGGGATTTTCAGGATTTACAGGATTTGATTCAAAGTTTAAAACCTGTTTGGGGAGTTTATATCAGTTTACTTAACTTCAGGCCTCTGAAGGGAAGCTAGAGACGAGCTGGCTTCCCTTGGCATGGCCCTGACCAATCACAGGTTGGCAGGGGCATCACGTGGGCCTCATCTGATTGGTCAATCCCTCACCAAGGGAAACCAGATTCCGGTGGCCTCCTCTCGCAACAGTGAATGCAATCTACTGTTTCACCATAACATCTAGAGAGGGGCGCTGTTTGTTTCACTCTTTCTTTGTAAAATACTCAATGAGAGTGGGGGAGAGACGGGCCGGCAGCAACAGCAAAGGAGAATTATCGAAACAAAACAAAGTGTTTTTATTTATTTATTTAAATTATAACTACAATCCGAAAAAACAGGGGAAGCCTGGCTTCCCTTGGCCTCCGGGAGAAAACGCCACTGAGTTTAACCTGGGTGGATCACAGTTTAACATGGGCGGGTCCCAGTTCCCTGAGCGGATCGCCGTTTACCTGAGCGGGTCACAGTTTTAACACAGATGAAGACTTCTCCACGCTGCTTTCAAACTGTGAATAAACACCGTGTGCTTCACTTGGAGGCTGTCTGAAGGTGTACACAGGTCTCAGATGGACTTGGTATCACATTAAGAACGATATTCAGTAATAAATCTGGCAACAATAGCTGGTTTAAATTATTTATTGGAGCTCGCAATGTTTTGAACAGACATCCCCAGTCAACTCGTTTCTTTTTTTGTAGTCCTCGCTGTTCGCGTCCGGATATCGCCATCGTAACCACAACCTCACACACTGGTACTGAATGTGCATCAAAGTCTTCCTACCGAGCCAAATATACCAAAAAGATTTATGTAAACGACAATGATCTGCTCCTAGCCGCCGACTCAGGTAGCCTAGCTGTCCTGGTGCTGTTAGACCTGACAGCTGCCTTTGACACTGTGGACCATAGCATCCTGCTGTCACAGCTTGAACAGTCCGCTGGCATCACAGGCTCTGCCCTTGCATGGTTCAGGTCCTACCTGACAGACCGTAGCTTCTCGGTACAGCTAGGTGCCTTCTCCTCTGCCAAAGCCCCTCTTACCTGTGGGGTTCCCCAAGGCTCGATTCTGGGCCCCATCCTTTTTCTACTGTACATACTGCCCCTAGGTTCAATTCTCACAAAACATAATATTCCCTTCCACTGCTACGCCGACGATGTACAGATATATCTGCCTTTAAAAGCAAATGTCAAACACTCACTACAGCAGCTGATGGACTGCTTAGCAGAGATAAAATCCTGGCTGAGCAAAAACTTTCTCAACCTCAACGAGAGCAAGACTGAGGTCATCTTTTTTTGGACCGCAACCTCCAGCCTCTCCGGTTGATTCTGGGGTCTCTCAAAAAAAAACATCCTCCCCTCGATCATGAACCTTGGAGTGACCTTCACCAGCACTTTTAAATTCGACAAGCAGATCAGCACTGTAGTCAAATCCTGCTTTTTTTAAATAAGACTATTGGCCAAAACCAAGTCGTATTTATCTTTTAATGACTTAGAAAGGGTTATTAACGCCTTTGTAACCTCGAGACTGGACTATTGCAACGCTCTGTATGTGGGTATGGACCAGGCCTAAATTAAACGCCTGCAGCTAGTCCAAAATGCAGCTGCACGTTTGCTGACTGGCCACAAAAAGCGTGACCACATCACCCCTATTCTGGCCTCACTGCACTGGCTTCCAGTTCGGTTCAGAATTGATTTTAAAATCCTTTTATTTGTTTTTAAAGCACTAAATGGGCTGGCTCCGGCCTATATAGCTGAACTCCTCGAGCGCTACACCCCAGCCAGACCTTTAAGGTCTGCTGACCAGCTGCTGCTGGTAGTGCCCAAGACCAGGCTTAAAACCAGAGGGCACCGAGCCTTCGCAGCAGTTTAGCCTTCGTGTAGTTTAGCACTACATCGAGATTAAGATTAAACTAATTTATTTTGGGAACAGCCGCATATATGCCGGTGTCGGACAGACACAAACACACCGAACACACAGAGCTGAGCTGAGCAGAGCACATACACACACATGCGCCTTGGTGACTGACTGGACATCTCCTTCATAAAACTAATAAAAGGGGGAGTAATCGGGCAGTTCGATGTGTGTAGATGTGTGTGTGGTTAACACGTAGCAGCCTGCAGTCACTCTTAAACTGTTCTGATTAAGTTAAACACAGCGAAGGCGGTGCGTAAAAAGGCACAGCTCTTTACCGAGTACGTCCCGCTGCCTCCTGATGCTGCAACCATTTCATGAAGTGAAGGAGGGTTTCCTTCTATAAAACAGCTGCGGGCAGCAGATACCGTGAGAGTCCCGGACATTAATTCATAGATCAAGGCAGACTGGTTTACTCCCCTGTTTTGCCAATCCGGTGCTTAAACAAATAGCTCCCTCTACACCCCTGGTCGACATGTCCTTAAAATGAAGTCCGAGTTTGAAATATATCTCAAATAATGTATGCACCACCATTTCCCCACATAAACATAACAGTCTGCTATCAAACGGTTGTCTCCTGTGCGCTCCTCTTCCTACTTGGCGCACCGGTAACATGCTCGTGCGCACAAGAGGCTGAGACCTTAGGCTGAGCCGCCGAATCCCTCGGAACATCATAAAAGCCATTTTCAACGGTTTTCTGGTGAAAGATTAACTAGCTACTGGATGAAATAATATGACTGGTGGCATAGGTGCGAAAATTAAACACTTTTTGAAAAAAATATTATGATAAAATATTTTTATATATTTATAATTCTGCAAATATTACGATAAACTCACAGCTATTTCGCGGCCCGGCAGTAACACCTCCGCGGCCCGGTACCGGTCCGCGGACCGGGGGTTGGGAACCCCTGCTTTAGTATTCACACCACGCACTTCTCCACCACTGTCAAGATGGCCAATTTACGATACCTGACTTCCTGTACAAAGCAATTTTCAAAATAAAACCCTTATAACCCTTTTGAGGGAGCGTGTAAGTTAAAAAGCATAATTGATAAAGGAAATGCTATGAGATGCCATTTGAAACATTGATTTTTGTTATTTAGGAAGAGATTTCTGTCATTTTTGTAAATGTAATGTGACATCAGTTTTAAAGCAAGTTATAATTTTGTGCTTTCTCATGTATCAATTCTTTATAATAAGGTTATTCTTACTCCTTGTGAAGGACCAGGGTACACACAAACTGGGAGAGCAGGTTGAAAGGAAAAAGGGATTTTATTTACCCCAAATACATACAGTTCTTTAAGGATAGGTAATACAATCAACATAATACGAAAAAACATCATTATACAACATAAACGCTCTAAGAACAACTGAATTTAAAAAGAACTTCAATAAAACCTGTTGAGGGCTCCTCTGTCTGAGACACACTGCCTTACTTTCCACACTGCAGGTCTTTATAATGGGCTGGCCAGTCCATAGTTGATTGCAGGGGGACAAAGACATAGTCGCTTTGATGGAGAAGCACCCCGAACACCCCTTGGGTTTTAAGTGAATGCCACAGTCCAACCAGGAAGACACATCCATAGGCAGGGGTGATTCAGCAGCTCTGCTTTTTGCTAGGAGGAGGATGAGCTGCTGAACACTGACAAAGGTTGGAGTAACACTTAACAATTAACAATGACTACATCTGACAAGATTGTGTGCACTCAATCTAGTAAAATAAAGTTGGTTAGAAGAAGTGTCTGGTTGTATGTAAGATGTTAGTCAGATTTAAGAAACTTTTAAGAGGTGTTGTTGGTTTTGAGGCCTGCAGTTACAGCCTTCACACTCGTACATTTAATCATCAGTGGTGTAAAGTAAGTATATTTACTCAAGAACTGAACTTAAGAACACTTTTCAGGTACTTTTACTCCACTAAATGTATTTAATACCTTTAGTTACTTTGCAGATCTGGATTAATGATGGTAAATATAATCAAGTGTTAAATCAGACTCTAGTTCCACCTGGAGTAAATTCACGAGCTATCCTGCAGTATACAAAGTCATTCAAACTAGCTGCACCTTTACCAGCTTTGATAACACTTTAATGATCAATCATTATAATCACAACATATCATATATATTATTCTGAAATGAGCCATTCTGCATAATGAGTACTTTCACTTTTGGGACTTTAAGTATATTTTGATGCTAGTACTTTTACTCGAGTAACATTTTGATTGCAGTACTTGTACTGTAACAGAGTATTCCCTTTCCCACACAGTAGTACTTAAGTACACGATCTGAGTACTTCTCCCACTTCTTGAAAACATTATCTTAATCATGCACCATGCAGTAAAGTATAATGGAAATGCAACAATCAAGTAAAGTATATTACCTATCAGGCTATCATGTTCTGTTTCTATTATATTCTATTTTATTTACTTGCACTATTTTATCTGTTTTATTGTGTTGCACCGTTGGAGGAGCCTGTGACCTAAGATTGTAATTGTCATAACTACACTGTAGCTATGCACACATGACAATAAAAGCCTTGAAACTTGAAACTTGAAACTTGAAACATGAATTGTCTTTTGTTTTGAAGGATGTGTTTCCGGTGTGTGTTTCTCCGTCCATCTTGACGCCTCTTCGGTTACTCCGGTTCCCCGGGCTGTCATTCCATCAGAGGCTCTTCATCACCTGTCCCACCCTCACCGTGGGAATAATACGCTTTATTAAACATCAAGACAGAGACAAAAATACAAAAATGGCGAGCAGTTTCTCCAGGATCTTGACCACCCGCCGGAAGATCGGTCTCCTGTCCGCGGTGGGGGGCTCAGTGACGGCTGGGTTTCTGCTGCACCGGGAGCATGTCTCGGCTGGAGCTCCGGTCCGCAGGAGTTACCCCGCCAGGTAACGTTTTCATTAAAATGTTATGTCATTTTGATCATTAATTAAGCAGTCCTGATTATTATGCATGTTGTGTAATTGACCCTAATTAAAGAAAATGGTGAAAAAGGCTGGGGGGACATGAAAGTAATGTTAATGCATAGTTAAACAACAATTTACCACACTAACAACCTGAAAAAACATGACGTTAATACAAGTAAAACCTACAGTTATCACTTAATTGTTTTAAAACCATTTCCATTACAATTTTTTTCAATACTTTATTAATTGTAAGGTGCATGTCCTTGGGTGTTATGAAAGGCGCCTCCAAACAAAATGTATTATAAATTTTATTATGATCATTATAATAATAATTATTATGTTCTTATCTCACGACTCACAGTAGGAATATATGCATTATGACTCAGATGCACCTATCGGTTACCTTAGATGAACCGACATCGATAGCTGTTATGGCTGTTGTAGGGGTACAATAGGGATTTTTATGGGGACCAAATGTGGAAAATCACGTCAAAATCCTTATTAATTGCCATCATCAAGAGGGCAAAAGATGCATGCATAGCCCTCCTGTTATAATAATGTATTAAATCCGGATTAACTCAGATACATATGACTCATCATAACTTGTGCTATAGCTGTATATGGCATACTGATGGGATGGGTGATGCGTACGTGTCTAACTACATGTCGCATTATAAAGCATTGCATATAAAAAGGTAAATAAAATGTTATCTGTTGCTCAGATAAAGAACCCTGCCAAAAATGTTGCATAACGGTCACACACTGAAAGAGCACCTGCAGTGTTAGAGGGTGTGTTTGTGTCTGTCTACTGTATAGATTTTATGTTTATTTTGTATTTATTCCATTTTTAACTAATGTGCAATTACTCGTTAACATGCTACCCTAATTTGGGATAAATAAAGTATTTAAACATTTCCTTAAAGTACTCGTTAGCTCGATTTAAAGTCGCATTATTGGATTATCCTTATTTCTTATGGTCAAAGAAGCACGTGAAGGTTCTCAAGATGGAGATGATCTTTATCAGAATGGTCAGTTTCATCTATAAGAAGAATGCATATATATGTTGGGTGAACTTAGTGGATTGAAAGTTTAATATTTTCCTATGAAATGTGGTAAAGACGAAGTATAGCATGAAATGGTAATACTCAAATACAGTAAGTACCCCAAATGTGTGCGTATGTACAGTACAAATGTACTTGGGTACCTTTTCACCACTGACTAAAGGCGTTGGTTTGGAGATTAGTCTTTAGGCGCCAACATATTGTCTGAGTGACCCAACAGGAACTAATGCCTTTTTCTTATCAAGCCTTATTGACACAATTACCAGGCATCATAATCATAATCTAACTTCATACCCACAGGCCTGCCAGCCGGATACGCCCAATTCCATGTTACTATTAATCATTAAACGTAGAGTCGTGCTAGGGTAAAGATACGGCTGATGGAAAAAATACAATTTATGCCTATGCTGATGAATCATTTTGTTATACTAACTACACTAACATCAAATATGTATATGGTTTATTCATATAGCAGGTTTATTTATGATTGATAGCTGCTAAGATAATCATTTTTCTCATCGCCTAAATTCAGTGTTGAACAGTGAGACATCCATTGTTCCTAAATATATCACTATCGCCCCTAACAAGGGCAGATTGATAGCGTTATGAAATCATGCACGAACAAAAGTACACCAATGCATAACCTGTGCATATTAGTGGACAAATTAACGTTTTTTGGATAATTTGAATCTTCATGTCTTAGCCTTGCTTATCTGTTGGCAGACAACAGGAAACAGGAACCCATAAGCTACTTAGTCTGTGCTGCTTTGGCTACTTTAGACTTTGTCATGCCAAACCCAATTGAATTCCATCCCTGGCCTTAAGAAGGTTTTTTTGTTGTGTTTGGATAAAAGCCAGTGTTTGACAGCAGGGCTTTTTGTTTCCACTCTACCCTGCCTAAAGACTAAATAATTAATTTAAAGACAGCACCGAATATGTCTGTTTTCATCAGCAGGATTAATTTACTCTAACATCAAAAATGTAAAGACTGTCTTCTCTATCAGGACTGATGAAGGACATTTTTAACATCTCATGTGAAACATTGCACAGTGTCTTTTCTGCCTGTCAAATGTAATACTTGAGATATTCAGGTCACATACATTTAGATTTTATTATAACTCTTTTTTTGTAAATATACAATATATTACTTAATTATAAAAGCCTGGTAAAAAATCCAGGGAAATGTAATTCCGCAAGTTCTTTAAATGTGTGCGTTCAAAAGACTTTACATGCATATTAATAAATGTGTGTGTATTATTGGGTTTGGGTAAAAAACATTCCTGAGCCTCTCCTTGTGTTTCTGACACCATCCTGACCTCAGCAGAGAGAAAAAGCTGTAATCCGCATCTTTAATGATTCTGTTAGCATTGTTCTTGCATCACCTTGTATAATAATCCTGTATGCAGGGTAGAGTGTATTGTATTTCAGCCAAATAAAACCTACACCGTTATCATTACCTAAAATAAAATGAGTTGACACATTTTGCAGCAGGGTGTCCCATAGCCATAAGGTAACAGTTAGCTGTGTACGTGCCATGTGGAAGTGTTCTTGAATGACTCACTCACTGTGCACCTGCTCCAAGGACACAGCCCTGTGCCCACGCTGCTAACAAGTCTTTTTTTTCCCTCCCTTTACGATCAATTCAGCCATATGTTATCTTGAAATGTGTATTTGTGTAGTGCGGAGTACCCTGACCTGCGCAAACACAACAACTGCATGGCCTCTCACCTGACTCCGGCCATCTATGCCAAGCTGGTTGACAAGGCGACTCCCAACGGCTACACTCTGGACCTGGCCATCCAGACGGGAGTGGATAACCCCGGGCATCCCTTCATCAAGACCGTGGGCATGGTGGCAGGAGACGAGGAATCCTACGAGGTCAGATATCATAGTTTACAAACACACATATACACACATGTATGCTCCTCTCTGGATTCAAGGCTTTTATTGTCATGTGTACATAGTTACAGTGTAGTTATGACAATGAAAATCTTAGGTCACAGGCTCCTCCAACAGTGCAACATAATAAAACAGATAATAGTGCAGTAAATAAAATAAAATATAATATAATAGAAATAGTGCAGAATACTCTATATACAAGTAATTGGAATATTGATATATTGGTCGCTATAAGGGGTTTGCACATGTCCAAGAGTCATCCTCAGGAACACTAGTAGGAGTTTGCAGTGACAAAGACAACACTGACAGTCTGAAGAGCAAACAATAACATTTATTTTTATTTTTATAGAGGATAGACTGATTTGAAATGGGAAAAGAGAGGGGAGGATGTGCAGAAAAGTCCATAGGCCAAAGTTGAGCCCCTGGACAGCAATGCCAGCTATACAAGGGGATGCTATCCAGTGGCTGAGAAAATTACATATTTAAAAAGGTTATGTAAAGTGGCATTGACTATTGACTTAATTTAAAGATGTCTCCAAAATGTCCCAGATACAAGCGCTGCTATTTTGTTCAGCTGTTGGCAGTCCACCAACATAGGCATCGACTGTTGTCAACAGGGAAAGCAGCAAAAGGTGTTTTAACCACAAAAATAAATACCATTTTAAGCCACATTTAGAATATTTTTACTGCTTTACGACAAGACAGCAGTCAGATAGTAATTTGACCTTGCAGAACACGTTAGTTGTTGCTTTGATCGGTTAGTTAGTTAGTTGTGTTAATGAGTGATGGTAAATCCGATCTAACTCTTAAAGTTCCCAAACGTTATTGCATAACATTTTTTAATTTCTTGGGTCTGTTTCAGGTTTTTGCAGACCTGCTGGACCCTATCATCAAAGAGAGGCACAACGGCTACAACCCGAACACCATGAAGCACCCCACCGACCTGGACTCCAGCAAGGTATCATCTCACTGTCAACACAGAACTTCTTATTGTCAGAAAACTAAAATCAGTTCTATTTGATGTTTCTCATTGTAATGAGGCCACACCTCAGGCCATTATGATTATAATGTTTATTCTTATTAATTTTCTCTCTGTGCTTTTATTTAAGTAATTAAGCTGAGATATACATAGATATCTTGCTAAATGATTAAGGTGAGGTTATTGTCACCCATGGAGAGATGTAGGTTATATGTGCAGTAACTATTCTGCACACATTTGTGTACGTACTGTATGCGGGTGTATGTCGTATGTATATATGTTATCTCTGAACGTTTAACAATAACTTCCTGCCCTTGTTTCAGATCCACTCGGGCAACTTTGACCCACGCTACGTGTTGTCGTCCAGGGTGAGAACGGGCCGCAGTATCCGCGGGCTGAGCCTCCCCCCCGCCTGCACCCGGGCGGAGCGACGCGAGGTGGAGCGCGTGGTGGTGGACGCGCTCGCCGGCCTGAAGGACGACCTGGCCGGGAAGTACTACAGTCTGACAGTGATGACCGACGCAGAGCAGCAGCAGCTCATCGACGTGAGTAATGTAGTTGCTATGGACAATCTTGCACTTATGTACATTCCCAAATATATTGAAGTGACTGTTATTTTGTATATATATTGATTGTTGTGTTTTTATCTTAATGTGTGCATATGTATAAATGTGTCTGTTGATTGTGTATATACTATAGGATATACATATTTTATACATATTTGTATATTTGTATTTGGGATTGTGGGAAATGGTATTTCGATCTCTCTGTCTGTACCTGTACACACAAACTGAAAGATTGACAATAAAGTTGACTTTGACTTTGACTAAAGCAAGGAGGATGCTCAGTGCTTACTATGGACATGTTGCACATTATCGAGGTACCATCTTTTTACTTGCAGTGCTATTGCAACACTTAAACTCCTGCTCGTCACAATAATTGTTTGTATAAAGAAAGGTGAGCAGTGTTTTAGTAAACAACCTTTTGACAAAATATTTTTACAGAAAGTGATAGCCTTAAAGTACAAGTTCAATGTTATTTATAACTAAAAGTCAAGTGAGATATAACACTAGAACAGTTTACTGTATCATATCACCAAATTCTCTTGAGAAAAATCTTGTAAATTGCATATTTACATCTCGTTATCTGTAGTTTTAAAATGGTAGAAGTAGTGGATCTACATGATCTGTCAGAGGGTCATGCTAGGACACTTTCAGATATGTACTACAGTCTGACACAGATGACAGACGCAGAGCAGCAACAGCTCATCGATGTGAGTAAAGCAGGGAGGCTGCTGTGTCAACTTTATTGTCAACCTTTCAGTTTGTGTGTACAGACAGAGAGATCCAAATACCGTTTCCCACAATCCCGAATACAAAAATACAAATATAAAAATATGTATAAAATATGTATATCCTATACACAATCAACAGACACATTTATACATATGCACACATTAAGATAAAAACACAACAATCAATCTATATACAAAATAACAGTCACTTCAATATCTTTGGGAATGTACATAAGTGCAAGATTGTCCATAGCAGCGTAAAAAGTGTCTGGTGCTGGATTTGAGTGTCTGAGTGTGTGTGGGGTGTTATAGTCCAGTGGGGGCAGGGGGGGCTATGTGTGTGTACATGATGATGTTGTGCATTATGTGTAATGTCTGTTTCCTTGTATCTTGCCTTGAATATTTGTTGATGTTGCAAATGGAGCTGCTGTGATGCAAGAAACATTTCCGATTTGAACTGACAATACATGTATTATTGGATCGATGTATAGTAGTGCATGGAGGTACCACTTGTGACTTGCAGTGCGAATGCAAATTTAAACTTGAGGGGAAAAAGGAAAGGTTAGCAGTGTTTTTAGTGAAAACCCATTTGACACCTTTTAGATTTAACGATAATACATTGACTGCAGTTTTAGTAACAGAACAACATTGGTTATTTTTCTTATTAAACAAGCTAAACAAATGCGTACAACAAATGGCTACTTTCTCCTCTCACTATGAGAAAGATTGATCATGTTATTGAGTTGTCAAGTTTCACACCTTGTTTCTGTCTTCATGTGATAAAACGATCCAAGTTAGCCATTGATGTTGGCACTTTAATATTAAAACGTCTGTTATCTGTATTTACAATAGGACCACTTCCTGTTTGACAAGCCCGTGTCTCCCCTCCTGACCTGCTCAGGCATGGCTCGTGATTGGCCAGATGCACGTGGTATCTGGTGAGTAATACCTGATTATAAAAGTTCTGATTGAGAAAACCTTATTCTTCTGAAACTTCAAGACAAGGTAGGGTATTATTATTATTATTTGCAAATATTAATTATTTGTTTTACACGTACACTTGCTACCAAAGCAATTGATCATGCGTGAACTGAAATGGGTGCATGAACCATTTTTGCAGAACTAATTTGAGATGTGAATACGGTGAGTTTGGATCTGAAGTTAACAGCTCATTGTCATTTTGTTGTAAAGGGTCCCAGGATAGACCCTTGTGGAACTCCTCAGAAAACTTTCTTTCAAAGGATGTCAAACTTTAAATGAAAACATAGGAGCTCCTATCCAAGAAGTTCAAATTAAGTTACAGATCACAAATGGATGCTATTCTATATTGTTTTGTGTGTGGTTTATCGTGGCAAAATGTGTTTCTGGAGACACCGTCTGTGGCAGTTATATATATAGATAGCATTCTCAATTCCTACACCATTTTCTCGAAAGGTGTTGTTGTCTCTTACATGACGGTTATGTTTTGACCCGAGTAACATAATCAGTTATCTGAGACAGAGGGCATTTCATTTGATGTTTGTGTTTTAAATTGATTTATTCTCTGAGGTTAATTCGGACATCAGCTATGATTTGTAAGAACCTTTTGTCTGAAACTGGCTGCAGTTCTTTAAAGAAATATATCAACTAAAATCCTCCAGCTCTCCCAAATCAGGCACATTGTCCAATGCCTATTGTTTAGTTTTTCACATTTATCATTTGTAATGCCTTTCAATCTGGAACTTTCTGGCATTTAATGACCTTTACATTTTAATTTCTTGCAGCAGTAATATCCTGATTGCTAAGGCTATGGTATTAGCAATGCAGACAATACTCCCTCAGCCCTGAGTTTCGGCTTGTGCCCAAAAATAGCCCAATGCAACGCCTCAGCCAAACAAAATCAATCAGCAGCTCCCTCTCCTCTCCTTAATAATTCACCTTCACTTCACCCCTCCCTCATCTCTTCTTTCAGGTCTATTGGCAGCTTTCTCTTTCCCTCTCTGGCTCCGTCTCCCCTCCTCGCTACTTTCATTTTTGCACTTCCCATATGTCATGCTCTACTTTCTCTCATTTGTGCACATCATCCCCCACACTTCTACTTCGTCATGTTCTTTTTCTGTCATCCTGTTCTACTTTCTTCGTACTCCTGTCTTAACCTATCCATTACCTTATTAAATCCCTAACAATGTTAAGTAGGTCAGTGTGGACAAAAAGTCTTTGTAGTGCCTGACAGTGGCTATGTGCACTTCACAATTTAAAATCTCATATATAAAAAGTTCACAGCTTGCCCCTAGATGGATGGTAGGAGAGGTCATCGGGTCGATCTAATGGATGCTTCCTCTGGGGAGCGTGAATGTGTACAGCAAACGTCATTTTACTTTTCACAATTGTTATTTAATTATTTGTAAGTAGAAATATTATCCCTACTGTTGCAGTTTAGGAAAGGTCAGAACTGTACTGAAAACATTTTTTTAATCAATGATTTAATCACTGAGCACAATCTCGATTTTATGTTTTGATCTGAAACTTGGATAGACCAAAATAACAGTGCAGCTGTTCTTATCGAATCAACCCCTCCCAACTCTAGTTTTATGAGTCAGGAAAGAATACATAAGAAGGGAGGTGGAGTTGCTATTTTGTTCAATGATTCCCTTCAATGCAGGAAGACATCTTATGGGAACTTTGCTTCTTTTGAATATGTGGCCCTTCAGCTGAAATGCTCCTCCCGAGCTCTGTTCCTAAATATCTATAGACCACCCAAACACTGTGCAAGCTTTTTTGATGACTTTACTGAACTGCTGTCTATAGACTGCATCTCACTTCGGTTAAATGGATTACTTGCGTCCCTCACTTGCGTCATTTCCCTGCGACTAGTCCCTCCCACCAGGGAAGCATGGAGAGACGCAAGGAAACCACGAGAAGCAGGGAAATGAGTTTTAAGAGCAATGGGACGTCCTTTCCTCCGGAGCGTCACGTGAAGCGACGTCCGTTTGTGATGACGCCGCACAGCTGATCGTCTGACAGCAGCCAGATCAGTGCATGCGCTGCATCGTCCAATCAGTGAGCCATACACAGTAAGGGGGCGGGGCGAGTGTCTGAGGATTTCACTGGAGGATGGTCTGGTAGTTCCTCGATTATCGCTCCTCCATTATCACTCCTCGATCCTCGGCCCTCCGGCACAAATAAGGCCACTGGGACGCTACTCAAGATGGCGCAGACAAATCAACTTCCGGTGATACCGAGCCCGAGGAGCGAGGAAATGAAAAATAAGAGAAGTGAGACGCACCCTATAGTGTGTATTGACTTTGACCGTCTAATCATTGTTGGTGATTTGAACATCCATGTTGACAACCCCCCACCTTCATGTGTACTCAGGTCTCTCTTGAAAATAAGATTGAGTTTTTAATATCTGCAATATGATGAATACATAAAGAGTCTAAAATGATTTAGTACACTGGAGAACCTTCATTTCTGTAAAAATGAATCCATCCCACAGTTGTTGAACTTTGTACTGTATCACCCTCCATAGAGGCCCATTGCTGAGATAAACATGTCAATACAACACCTTTTAAGCGATTCTCTTTTGTTCACAAAGTGATATTTATGAGTTTTGAGTAATCCATACAAGACATTTGATTTGATTTTTACAAGGATGTCTAGTTCCTTTTAAAGTAAATTAAATCAATACTGAATTACAAGGCTTTGCAAGCACAGTGCAGCCTTGCAGACTACTTTGAGAAACCCAGCTGTCAATGACCTTTTATTGTCATTACACAGTAGGCCTACTTACTATGTAACAAAATGGTTTCTCTGCATTTGACCCATCCTAGTGTTAGGAGCAGTGTTTTATTAATTGTGTCTGATAACTGATGGTTCATAGTCTCCTTTCTACTTATCAATGTCATATTGATCCATTAATAGATAAACCCAATCTTCCATCAGTAATTATTAACTTATTCTACAATAGGACTTTATGAATAACTCAGCCTGGGGGAAATGTTTCAAACATTGATTTGTGTATAACAGGGGTCTCCAACACGTCGAAAGTAGCTCTCAGATGAAGAAAGGTTGGAGACCCCTGGTGTATAAAGCTTCATATTTGTATTTGGAGTCAGTAAAAGGAATCTGTGTTCAAGAATACTAGTAACTGCATCAAAATAAATGCCCCCGACTGGGTGCTGCTCCTTGATAGTTATAATGGGGCGGATACCCCTAACCCCCAGGGAAAGATATTGTATAACTCAATATTACATTATTGTACACAATGTACAACAATATTTTGTATTACTGCCGATTTATATTCCATATTTTATTCAATTTCTTTGTAAATGCTGTTATATTTTTTATTACTTTTAATATTTTTCTAGTTCTCTATCTGTGTTTTTATGTATGCACCACGACACCAAGTCAAATTTCTCGTACGTGTAAACCTGCCTGGTAATAAACCTGTTTCTGATTCTGATCATTTCTCTCTGTGCAGGCACAACAACGAGAAGACGTTCCTGGTTTGGGTGAATGAGGAGGATCACACCAGGGTCATCTCCATGGAGAAGGGAGGAAACATGAAGCGGGTCTTTGAGAGGTTCTGCAACGGCCTCAAGGAGGTAAAGCTGTGTTTGTGTGAGAGTTTGGACTGTTGATGTTAAGAGGAGAGAGAGAGAGAGGCTTTGATGAAGACAGAGGACACGGTACTTTCAATTATTTTAAGGTTTTTTACCCTTATCTGTATTCTCTATGTATCTAATATATCTCAGGATGTCACACATAAACAGTGTAAGTATATCAAAAGTATTACACTTCACTGTAGGCAGTGGCGGCGCCAGAGTATGTTTGTTGGGTAATCTATGGTAGGGCTAACCCATACAGTGGTGGGGCTCAAGTCAGTATTTGCAATGTAAATACATACACGCGATATCGCCCCCCTTGACAGTGAAACGCCACGCGTGAGGTTTAGATTATTTCCCTCTCTCAATCAAAATGGAACTGTATGAAATAAAACTGCACATTTGTCTTGTAGTAAATAAAAAGGGATCACTGTGAACGTGACGTATGATAGTACACGTTGAAGATCCAATGGGGATACTGAATGGCGGTTCCGATTGATCTCAATCTGTAGGTCTATTCAAATTGCATTCGGAGGCATTTTGATCTGACCGCGGCCGCGCTGATATTATAACGCCAGAGAATTTCGACACCTTTAGTGTATAAAACTCCCCCACTACTCTTAGACTATTCCTTGCACCCCTCTTCTAGCATAACCCCGAATGGTCTCAACCATATTGCATCAGTAACGTGCACTTGTTGTGACAGCAGGATCAGTTTGTGTGTTGTGGACACGACCCGTATATTTTCGCAAGCCGTGTTCTCAACATTTAGCATTTTGTTTATTATTTAATTTGCTTACTTTAACATCATTTTTCATGGTGGGGCTGAGGTGGGGCTGAGGTGGGGCTAAGCCATGTCTTGGTATGGCTGTAGCCTACCCGAGCCATACCCTGGCGCCGCCACTGACTGTAGGGATTGTTTTAGTTTAATACACAGTCAAAATGTCTCTCAAAATGTCTCAGACACAGACATTTTGGTCGTGTAACCGAAACTTGGTGCGCATCCTAATGTTAATATTACCAGCACTTAGTGAGTATTATTGGCAGTTATCAGGAGCTAAAAGGACAAGGCAGTTAGGAAGGGGAGTGTCCATTTACTATAGAAATCAGAGGCCCTGTCAAGCCTAATCTGAAATGGATAGGTAGCCATTGAGGGAAGCTATAACTGAAGTATGCTCAGAAGTTCTGGTCTTATTAAAGTTTTAGCTGAAAGTATAACAAATCCCTAAAGAACCATTGTGTGTGTAGTGTAGGATTTAAGGTACAGATGCTCTCAAAGGCAAACAATCCCTGCTAATACTTTCCCTGCTGCGAATATAAAGCCTGTAGTAGACCAACGCACCAAAAACAAACTGTCCAAACATGGCCGTGCAAACATAAATGATTTATCAAAGCAGTCCAAGTTCCCCATTAGAGAAAAATAACAAACAATGTTACATCTGGTAGTGCACTGTTGAACTAAGGGTGTCACACAAAACACCACTGTGCTACAATAAAGTGGATTAAAGTTTGTGTCAGTCCACTTTCATCAAGAGTTCATCCAACCTCTCAGCTCTAAAAAGTAAAAATGAAAAAAATCTGCTAAAAATCTAAAAACAATGTACACATCTATTAAACTTAAGAGACTGTTTGACATACTCATTGTGTCAAAATTAAAATAAGAACACTAAGCCTACTTCTTAACAATACATGTGGCACAACAGCACAACATTAAACTTACATCTTAAAGGTCCCCTATTATAGTGTTTTTCATCAATATATTATAGGTCTCAGATATATACCAACATGTCTCTGAAGTGTTTGGCTCCAAACACCAAACAGATCATTGCAGCATCCCATAATCCCCTCTGTTTCAGCCCTGTTTCAAAAGTGCTGATTCTCTGTCTGTTACTTTAGATGAAAATAAGGAGCCCCTCCCCACGCCCCTCTGAGAGAGATTTGGTTAGAAAGAACTCAATGGTGCTCTAGGAGGAGATTCAGGTGATAAGTTGGGGGGGGGGGTTACCTTGGTTGGTGATTGGCTAATGGTTACACAAGCCAAAACATCGTTATGACATCATAAAGTGGCCAAAATCTGATCAGCTCATTTTCAGACAGGTTTTTATATAAATGGATCAGAACAAAAATAGAGAGAATCTTTGTTCCTGAAACTTTCAGAGTCTCTTTACACAGAGGGGACACATGTTGATGTAGAAGAGACATGAAGAAGAGGATTTTGCATAATAGGTGACCTTTTAATTGATTGCCTGTGTGTGTCTCTCAGGTGGAGCGTCTGATCAAGGAGAAAGGCTGGGAGTTCATGTGGAACGAGAAGCTCGGGTACATCCTCACCTGCCCCTCCAACCTGGGCACGGGCCTGAGGGCCGGCGTGCACGTCAAGCTGCCGCTGATGAGCAGGGTAACACAGAAGCATTATTAATAGAAGGAACAAACTATTTACATTCCTATTTCAGCAGATCATGAGGCATCTTTTGTGCCACTATATTACTTGTTTCGCACGTTAAAAATCAGAGCTGCTGCATGGTGTTTTAACAAAGTATTACGTTCTGATATTATAAGTAGTAAGTGTCAAAAAAACATTACATCTTATTGATCTTTGCTGTATAGTATTTTCTCTATTACAGATAAGTATGAGTTAGTTCTGTTTCTTTCTGGGTTTTTTTACATTTTTTGCAGATTTTTTACCAACATCTGTTTATGTCTTTTACAAAAGGCAAAATTAGTTGTTGATAATAATAATAATAATAATAATGGGGCCTTTCAAAGCTCTCAAGGACACCTTACAGAGCATAATTACAAAGAAGGTCAAAACAGTCATTCGAGACTTAAAAAACAAAGACTTAAAAACAACAATCAGTTTAGAGGAATTATGATATAGAATACCCCAGTTTAAAAAGGTGGGTTTTCAGGCAGGATTTGAAGGTTGAGAGTGAGTCCATATTGCGGATGTCTTGTGGGAGAGCGCTCCAGAGACGGGGGGCAGAGTGGCTGAAGGCTCTTGACCCCATGGTGGTCAGGCGGGCAGAAGGTACAGTGAGTTGTTACGGCAAAAGATCTGTGTACTTTTGCAATTTGGCTCACCTACATTTTCATAGTGCAATTCACTGCTGTTCTAAATATGGACCGCTGTACACGTGCATTGTCAGGATTACATCATGAAGAAGCTTGCAAATGGGGAACTTTGCTAACACAGCCAAACATTAAGCACCTGTCATAGTAAGCTGGCTGATATAACGTAATGCTCCAAAAGCAAGAAGCCAGCTCAGCGTGTGTCTGTTAATGCACGAAGCTCTCGCCAACTAAAAGACAGTCCAGAGGTTTACTCCTGTCCGGGCCTAATAATAGCAAATTGATCATTATGCTAATTAAAGTGCTTTGAAGCTGTATAGAATAATAATAATAATAAAGCTTTATTTATATAGCACGTTTCTTACAACACATGCAGCTCAAAGTGCTTTACAAAATGACACATCACAAGTTAAAAATACACAACAAGAAATTCCCCTCAGATTATTTGTTAAGAACTTTAAAAGGTACATGCAGCAAAATATAACATGTGATCAGGTTAATAGACACACGGAGGTACAATGTAAGATAATAAAAATAAAATAAAGAATGGTTTCTCTCTGACAGATAAGACACAAGACAACTGAGTCGATGCAACAATATCAAACCCCATAAAACAAAGTGAACATATAGGTTCAACAGAAATACAAATAAAAAGATTCATAATAAAAGAACTCCCCTCTCCCCCACCCCCAAGGACCCCCGCCTGAGTAAGATCCTGGACAACCTGCGTCTGCAGAAGAGAGGGACGGGTGGCGTGGACACCGCTGCTGTGGGCGGGACGTACGACATCTCCAACCTGGACCGCCTGGGACTGTCTGAGGTGAGAGGCTGTGTATAATAATAATAATAATACGTGTATTTATTATAGCACCTTTCACAGAAATGGAATTCACAAAGTGCTTCACAAGAAAGAACAAAAGTTCAAATGAAGACCACAGAAACATGAATACAACATGAGGCAGAAACTTAAACACAGACCACGTGGAGTCCTGAGAGGAACAAACATGAGAACAGAACACATCACACACAAGTAGAAACAAAAGCCAGTGTAAAACATAGGTCTTCAGTAGTTTTTTTAAAGCTTCTACAGAGACTGCAGAGCGGATGTCTTTAGGGAGAGAGTGTTGGAGCTCCACCTGAAAGGCACGGTCACCTTTAGTTTTTAGACGAGACCGTGGGACAGCCAGTAGGCCCTGGTCTGAAGACCTAAGTGACCTAGTGGCGATGTAAGGATGAAGAAGGTCACTTATATACTCCGGTGCATTTCCACGCAGTCGGTTGATGTAGGCTGAGTGAAGGCGAAGGGTGCGTTTCATTCAGTGGGTAAAGCACAAAGCATGTTTCTGTTCACATCTATCCATTGTCACGATCCTAATGTTTTGTCACGTTTTTAGTTTTGTATGTCTTGTCTGCCTTCCTGTGGGTGTTTCTCAATCGCGAGTAAAGCTGCTTCAGAGCCACTATTTCAAGCATACTACGTCATCGAGTGCCGCCGAAGTACTGTTCCAATCTCCAGCATACTTGGAAATCTACCGAGCCCGGCGTACTCCGTTTGGAGAAATATCGAGGCTGCACATGAGTAGACTCCGCGGTCTTAAAATCCCCACAATGCTTTGCGCACGGACCAATTTCCCCAAATCTGTGGCGGAAGATGTAAGGCGGGGCCTCTCATATGACGCACACCTGCACACTTGCTAGCGTGTTCCACACTTCGTTTTCCGAATGCCAGGTAGTATTCTTGACTCGCTTCTGAAGCAAGATGCTCGGCAGACATGTGCTACCAAGCAAGCGTACTCGCGATTGAGAAACACCCAGTGTCTCTTGTCTGCCTTCCTGTGTTTTCCCTCCTGTGTCTGATTGTCTAATTGTGTTCACCTGTTGCCCTTGTGTTTCTACCTCCCCTGCCCAGCTGTTTCTTGTCCCGTGATTACCCCTCTCTGTATTTAGTCTTGTCTTTTCCTGTGTTCCCCTGTCGGTTCATTGTTTGTCTCTCCTGTCTCCCTCCATGTTGGTCACGGTCAGTTTTGTGTGTTTATGCTACCTTGTACTATCTATGTTTTAGATTCATGCCATGTTTTGTGTTTATCAGCTTTTAAATAAAGCTCGCTTTTGTTTCTAGACCTTTTACCTTTTTTTTTTGTAGTCTGCATTTGGGTCCTACCTTTTCCGCGATCTTAACAGTGATTCTAACATCCATTAACTAACCAATAGCACTGGCTTACAGTTTTGTTGTCCATATGATTGACTGGTGGAGATTTCAGGGCAGGACATATGCATGCTTTCTCAGTTAATCATCCCTATATAAACACAGATTCAATATTTATTGCGTCAGTTTTTATCAGTTGCCTTGAAGACATTAGTAATGAATATTAAAACTGCACCATTGCCAAATGAATGTTTAGAGCCAACAATTTATTTTTGGAACATAAGTAGCAAAGCATTTTTGCACAAAAGAAAGAGGGGTTTTTGTTCCAGACCAAAAGGAGCTAAATCTGTTTTTACGAATTGCAAGAGGAAAGGATAAAGGGAGGAGAGGAGGAAGGAGGAAGAAGAGAGAAGTGTTATTGTGCAGTCTGTACATGTAGTTAGTATTTGTCATGTCCTTGTTCGTCATACAGTACAATGGAGCTGCTCTCTATTGTTGGAAGTGTGTGGTCATTTATTTAATTGTGATTACATGGAGAGAGGAGATGGCTCTTCACTGTTTCTGAGTGGAGTGATCAGATTAGTGCTCAGTAACATGCTGCAGATTCTAATTCATCTCATTGTCTTACTTATACATAACATGTAGATGTCTCTTTGCTATTGACTGAACACAAGCAGCTCATTATAAGTGTGAATGAAATCTAGGACTTTTAGAGATGTCTAAATGTTGGAAGTAGAGAAGAGGCCGTCTGACTCCAACATGTTTTTTTGGGAGAGAGAGTGGGCTGTTTGTGTCTTTCATCATTCAGACGATTTTCCACTCAGGAGGAGAGGAGCACTTTGAAGGTGGAGTCAACAAAGTAATAAATGGAGGAACAGATAAAGCAGGGACAGCTGGAGCAAAGTGTAGGAGGAGAATAATGATTAGAACAGAGACAGTGTCCTGGGTGTGGAAACACTTTGGAAAAGAACTCTGAAGTCCTAAAAATGTATTTTCATGATGGTCTAATTCAGTGAGGAGATTCAGTAAAGAACACATCAAGGTTTGACAACTTAAAAGCGTACAGGGACGTAAAAAACCTGTTTATATAAGTGTGTTTTTAAAAAATGTATCTGATTTGTAAGCCTACTTTCCTCAGTTCCTCATTGCAGTATGATCCACAGTACAGGGTACATCATAGAGAAAGCCTAGTGAAAGTGAAAGTGAAAGTATTATCCAAATCTGGCTGTAAAAATAATGATTGTTGGAAACCTAACATTCTTCCTCTGTGAGAAACTACATAATCTGCAACTACAGTTTATCAACTTTACTGATGCGGCAGTTTTAATGAGAGCAGCAGGCTCGTGTCTGTTTTTAGAGGTGGGCTTCACTTTGGACTTTTGTTTAGAGGAGGCATTCTTTAAAAGGTTATTGAACGCTTGCTGATGCCGCCTGGCTGCTTGGTGAAGAGCGTAGACTGCTTGTGTTTATATTTGTCTGTAATGTCCATACTTTAGTGAGAGGTTTGCAGATGTCTGGGCTACAAACTGCTCTGTGTCCGCAGTTACAGACGGTACTGGGATAAAGCTTTGCCTTCTGTACCTTTTTAATTAGGGCTGAAACATGTTGTTGGGAACCAAATAAAGAAATATGAATGATGTGTTTAAGACATAACAATATTCTGCTTTAATGTTAACCATAAATGAAATTATTTGTATCATGCTGGGAGACTATTGTTGAGGCATAGAATGAGAGTGGTGCAATGAGAGACTGAGCAAATCAATAAATACATCATCCAAATAAGATTTTAGACACTTTATAGTACAAATCAATATGTTGTGGTCTTTGTTGATTTGTTGACATTCCAAAAAAGGGAAAATTCTGAAAAACATAATTGGGGAATGCATTTGAAACAAAAAATATGCATAAAATTAAAAAAAAACTCACTCAATTCATAATTTGTGTACATTGATGATCATATTTTAATTTTAAAATGACTTAAATGTGATGTGCCCCCCCCCCCCCCCCCCCTCAGGTCCAGCTGGTGCAGACGGTGATTGACGGCGTGAACTACCTGATCGAGTGTGAGAAGAGACTGGAGAAGGGCCAGGACATCAAGGTGCCCCCCCCACCCCACAAACTATTCAAGTAGACACTAACCCCCCCACCCCACAAACCTCTGGGCACACACCTGCACAACCCCCCCCTGCTCTGTTCCCATAGATATAATAAATATCTATGTAACCTCTCATCACCCCTACCTTCCCTACAGTATGCCTCTCCATAATATAATCTACATATATAACATATATATATGTTCAATCAAACCCAGATTACTGCATTCTTTCGGATGCTTTTGAAGTTTTTTTTTATATGAAACTCAAGATCAAACGTAGCTATAAAATGGCAGCAAACATTTATGAAGGATGCACAAACTGCAGGCTGTTGTAAAGGAGTAAAAATGGCCGCCTGTATGCCCAGTTTAAAATGGCCGAACATTATCTCTGCTTCTGAAAACACTCCTCGGCCCACTAAACCTGGCTGTTCCTCGCCTCAGTCCCTTCCTTACGCATGTCCTATACTCAGAATATCACCCCCCCCCCCCCCCCCCCTCCCTGTGTGATGGTGCCTCATCTTATTATGTGATGCTTGTGTAAATCCATCCATTTGCGCTCTTACTCTCCATCGTAGATTGTGTTTCTTTTCACTGTAAATGGTTTTGAATGTAGATTAACCGACTGAAGAGACTCCAGAGGATTTGTATGTTTGGTGACACACTGCTGTCAAACTGTTGAAACACACACTGGCCCGGGCTGAACTGTAAACAACAGAAGCAATATCATTTCAGCTCATCTTGAATGTCAAACTATAATATGTTTTATTAAAGAAAACCTCTATTTAACAGTACATCCTCTGTCTGTCTCTCATTTGTTGATGAAGCGTTGTTTTATGTTCTTGTTTCTACATGACAGCAATGCCATTCTTTGATTTCCAGGAGGATTGTAATGCTGGTGCATGAATCTCAGGCTTTAGGTTACCATGGTAAACAAGCATGAGGAATAGTTATTGCGATCAGCGTGGTTGCAAAGTGTCATGTGACAATGTTCAGTCAGATGCATAACTAACTGTATAATGCTCATGTTTTCACACAGTGCCAGATAGATATAGAAAATGATAGCTTTTCTTTACCTAATTTAACATATTGGGACACTTGCTTTTACTTCAAAGGCAGTCTTCTCTCAACTTCAATGAAAGGATACAGCAGGTGATATTATATTTTATTTTCACCAAATAATCCCAGTAGAATCAGTAGTATTTATTTAAAAGCTTGATATCTTATTCCTCTGTGACATTACAGAAGCTATGAGAAAATAAATTCTGATTTTAATAGTTTTCTCTCCTGGGTTTTGATTTGTAATGATTGAATTGAGTTTTAACAATATGACCTAAAATATTTTAGGACACCAATATGCTAACTGTACTAGCATCGCTCACTTGTGGCAATACGTATCAATGTTTTCACTCTGCATCTCTGACATTGGCTTGTTTATCATTGAAGCAATTGTTCACTTCAATTCAGTTTGATTGAACTTTAAGAAAGTAAAACCAAAAGTCAGAAACTACTGGTGTTGCTGTCACAAGCACGCTGGGGAACGTACAACAATATTAAGAAAAATACACATTGTTAACTTTGTGTCTTTTTAATGGGATGTTTTTACAATAACAAAATATAGGATACTGCCTGACAGACCTCAAATAATGCGCTAAAAGAAGTGTGTGCCATTGCTGCCTTATCTGCACCAAAGGGTGAATATTACACCTTAAAAAAAGTGCCCTTTGTTGAAGAATGAGCTCAAAGACGCCAGTGCTTTTCCTCTGCAGTGCAGTATGTAACAAGTGCTTTGTCCCGTCGCGGATGAATAGATTTTTATTGTCTTGAATGAAGAAACAGGCAACAATTTTTCCAGTGTTGTGGTCTGGACCCAGGGAGACAAGGCGTCCTGTGTTTCGGAGGAAGACGCAGCGCAGCGCAGCGCAGACGTCAGAAGTGTTGGAGTCGTGAGGAATCTGATTCTCTCTCTTCAAGGATTCAGAGGAAGCTTCTGGTGTCCTCAATGCACCCTCCCTCCCCTCCTCCCTTCCTTCCTCCCTCCCTTCCTCTCTATCTCGCTCGTGCATAATGCTGCAGACAGTTTTCTCTCCTCCTCCTTGGCTCCAGATATGGATGATGAGCGAGCAAGTTGCCATGGAAACTTAATCACAGAGGCAACGGGGGCTCAGATTTGAGATTGAAGGGGCTTTGTGGGGGAACAGAAAACAAATCTGTACAGCACAGAGAGAGAGCTGGAAAAACACACACTCACACACAGAAAACAGTCAGGTTTCAGCGCATAATATGAGGACTATTTTTATTATATGTACAGCACTTTGGCTCGACCAAAAATCGCTTAAAAATGTGCTATATAAATAAAACTTGATTTGATTTAAGTCATTTGCATTCATTAGTCTAATGTGGAAACACGATAAGACATTAGTGGGTGAGCATAGAGTGACCTTGACACAGTACAGATGTTTTACAAAACACTGTAGCTCACCTCCTCACACAGTACAGACGAAAAACAAACCCAAGCGTATCCTCTCACCTCATTTGACCCCTCAGCTGTTTCCATCTAAGTCTGTTATTTCCATCTCCGCTGTAGGTTTACAGTAAACGGTGACTGCTGCAAAGGAGGAACGACAGCTCTGGGAATTAGCACAGCTTGTCTGAGCCAGAAAGAAGAGGGGGGGTATATGAGGTGCTTTTGAAAGAAACTGGTGTTTTCAGGAAAGAGGGGCTATAATAAGACGCGTGAAAATCCATGAGTGTATAAATAACCGTGTATACTTTCAACCCACTTAAGAAAAAACACTTCTTGCATAGGAAGCTTAACCTGCAGGCAAATAATACAGAATACAGTTTGTATTATAAAGAGTCCATACTACTATATTATCAAATTATACATTACTTTATTGACATATGACATTAGACAATACAAGTGGTGAAATATAATGCAGTTGTATCCTGCTTCATGCTTTACAGTATAAATTAGCTGTAAAAATGCATATCAATAAAAAAAAGGGCGTTATCAACTTACTATTGCACTTTTTGTATTATTATTGCATGTCAAGGTATTGCACATACCCTTATTCAAAATGATATAGCTTTATTCCTACTCGGTGTTGGTCGTGGTGGTTGGGGGACATTTGTGTCTTTTATGGTAGTTTGTTCATGTTGTAATATGGGAGGATGTGGCTCAGTGGATCAGGGGGTAGCAAGTTCGAGTCCTACTGCAGTCAGCATGTCGTTGTGTCCCTGGGCAAGACACTTCACCCCAAATTGCTCCTGTGCTGCCCACAGTACTGAATGTATGTAAGTCGCTTTGGATAAAAGCATCTAACAAGTGACATGTAATGTAATGTAATATGTTTACAGTGCAATACTTGAGAAAATAAAGTATAAGAAAGGGAATTCCATAAGAAAAACCTTTAGATTAAACCTAAAGGGCTCTATGACGACAAAGGTGTGAATAATTTGAGTGCATTCACATTACAGTGATTGAATACATTTTGGTTTAAATAACAAACCTTTCTAAGGACATATTGTGGAGTCATGTGAACCGCTGTGCTGTCAGAGAGCTCCCTCTGCTGGCATTATAGGTTAACTGTATATGAGGGAAATGTTTAGCATGTTCTGTTTGCATGTGACTGTGTTAATGATTAGGACATATTATCTCCTGGGTTTCTTTAAATTAAGAAAAAAGAGTATGAATGGAATCTGCTTGAGTGGCTTTAACATGAGAGTCAGATACATTTGAATTTATCTGAATATATTTAATCTTTCGTGTGTTTACCTTTGTTTCATGTTGAGATTGAGATAAAGAAGTTACTCATAGTCTGACAATAACATAGAGGCAATTACAAGAGTTGTTAAAAAAATAAATGTTCTTGGATAACTGGCTGATTTAACGTGTTGCACACTTTATGTGTAACTGGAAAAGCTGATCCCTTCAATATGTTCATAGCCAGGTTAACCCTTAGATGCATAAGTGGGTCTTTTTTGACCCGGTGAGGTGGTTTTCTTGAAGTATCTTTGTAATTACATTTTTTTATTATTTCATATTCCAGCAATTCCTCAAAAAACATGTTTTGGATATCATGCCATTCACATTTTAAATTTACATTTTAAGAAATTGTAGTTTTTGTATTACGACCCCAAGCTTCCATAAGTGGGTCAAAAATGGGAACCTTTGATTCTTATTACCTGTTGCTGTCAGGAATACATTCACTGTAGACCACACAGACTACATCACAAGTGACACCTCTCAGGAAGGTTATTTTACACAGCAAGATCCGATACCTGTCAGTATAATAATAATAATACATAATATTTGTATGGCTTTTCAAGGACTCAAAATCGCTTTACAATATAAGGGAAGGTTAGGGTTGGGGGTATAGGACTATCAAACTTGATCAACCGGCATGGATTGATGGGGGGTGGGCTATGAGTAGACAAGAGGAGAATAGATGAGTTTTGAAAAGGGACTGGAATACTGTGAGGGTCTCAGAATAGCGGAGATCTTTGCATCAATATGTTCAAAACGTTTTTTTCAAAATGTAAAAAAAATTTCTAACATTATAAATAGTGAAAAATTAAATATAAAATATTTCTAGTGTGAACCAAAATATAATACTAAATATCATACAAGTGATTTTTCTTAACCAAAATGACAAAAATGGCATAAAAACACATATTATTCTAATACGGGTCCTTTTTGACCCACTTATGGAAGAACGTAGGGTCCAGTGACTCGGGCATTAGGGTTAATGTGTCAGTGGAGCCAAACATGTGCTGCTGTCTCCCCTCCGTCCTCCCACATTCACTTCTTTCAGTATCCACCCTGTTTCCTCCAGCTTTGACAAACCCCACCTCTCGTTCTTCTGTGTACAAATTAATCTGTGGTCTTTCGGATTATTTACAGCTGTAATTAGGGTAATTTACAACGTGAGCATGATCTTATCTAAAATAATAATAAAATAACATAAGATAAGATGGACCGTTATTAATCTGTGGGGAAATTCAGGGTTAAAAGTATATTTTGACACAGTGCCCCTAAGATATGCAAGGCCTCAAAATGAATTTATAAAACTAGAATCACCTTAATGGTTTTTGTACTTACATTATGCACTTACATCTTTGGTGTATAATGCAGAAATAAACACAGTATCAATCAATCAATCAATCAATGTTTATTTATATAGCCCAATATCACAAATGTTACATTTGTCTAAGTGGACTTCACAGTTTGTACAGAATATCAGTATGACAATACGACACCCTCTGTCCTTAGACCCTCACATCGTACAAGGAAAAACGTCCAGAGAAACCCCACAGTTTAAAGGGGAACATGGGAGAAACCTCGGGGAGAGCAACAGAGGAGGGATCCCTCTCCCAGGACGGACAGACGTGCAATAGATGCCGTGTGTAAATCGAAAAGATAATACATTTACAACATAGGTAAACCAAATGTTTTGAAATTCATTTCATTTCATTTCAAACCTTTATTTATCCAGGTGTATCCCATTGAGATCATTGATCTCTTTTTCAAGGGAGACCTGCTCAAGTAGGTTCCACATGAAACATAAAAACATAAACAGAACAACAAAAAGGACATCATCCAGCATCATTACATGCATGTGTCTATAATAAGAAGATGAATCCACGAGGATGTCAACAATCCTGTGGGAGCCATCAGGGAAGTAGTATGATGAGAGTCAGGCAGGACCACAGTGACAGGTTCAGCCACGACTCGAAATCCAGGACTCAGATCAGGACTCAGGATCAGCCTCGACTCAGGATCCCAGCGTAG